CGTGCGGGGTTCATTTGGAGGGGCCGGGGGTCGGGGATCCCCGCGGCGGGGTTGCGGGGGTGAAACCCCCACCCCGACTTTGGCCCCGGGGATCCCCGCGTGACAACACTGTCTGCCACATAGACTGTCTATGTGAGTGCAGCAAGTGTGTGTGTGTGTGTGTGTCTGTGTGTGTGTGTGTGTGTGTGTGTTAAACAGTCTGTCACAGTCTATCACAATCTGTTGGCCAGTGCACAGACTGTGACAGAGTCTATCACACAGACTGTGACAGAGTCTGCCACAGACTGTGACAGACAGTCTGTCACACAGACTGTCTGTGTGAGTGCAGCAAGTGTGTGTGTGTGTGTGTGTGTGGTGGTGTCAAATTGTCTGTCACAGTCTATGACAATTTGTTGGGCAGTGCAGAGACTGTGACAGAGTCTGTCCGCTAGGGCCACACAAACTCTGTCACACTCTTGTGTGTGCTGCTCACCTGACTGTGACAGACTATTGTCACACAGAGCGGTGGGGGCCAGCTCACACTCTGTCACAGTCCGTGTGACCAACAGTCTGTCACAGTCTGTTGGGCAACACACAAATTGTGACAGAGTCTGTGTGCTCGAACACACAGACTCTGTCACACTTTGTGTGTGCTGCCCACCAAACTGTGACAGACTGTCGGTCACACAGACTGTGGCAGACAGTCTGTCACACAGACTGCGACAGAATCTGTGTGAACTGGCCCCCACCAGTCTGTGTGATGCAATGTCTGTTGGGCACAGTCTACGTGTGCTGCCCAACAGACTGTCTGTCACATTCTTGTGTGCTGCCCAACAGACTAACTGTGACAGACTGTCTGTCACATATAGGCTAGTCTGTTGGGCAGCACACACAGACTGTAACTGAGTCTGTGTGTGCTGCGTGGGGGGAAAGGGTGGATCTGGTGAGGGGAAGTACCATTGCAGGACAGAGAACAACCCCCCCCCACCACCACCACAACAACTTCGGATCTGCAGACACCGGGGGGTTCAGGGATACCACCTATGCTCCCCTTAACTTCACACACACACACACACACACACACACAGTGACATACACACACACACACACAGTGACATACACACACACACACACACTCACACTCACACCCACACACACACTCACTCTCAAACACACACACATATACACACACACACAAACACTTATACCCACTTGGCACCTACCCACCCACCCACACACACCCATACACAGACTGTGCATAACATTCATGTCTATGCACGACTGACATGGAAGGGAGCTCAAGGGATTACATGCAAAGACAAAGACCATGCACACTGCACAGGTACTCAAGACGACCACGAAGTACGCATCATGCTTCCTTCAAAGACGAACACAAGAGTCCGTCCGTCCATCTCTCTCTCTCTCTCTCTCTCTCTCTCTCTCTCTCTCTCTCTCTCAATGTGTCTCTCTCTCCTCCTCATCAGGTAATGTCCTATGCCTTTTCCTCTTGTACAGAGGAACACTCTCATGAGAGTTGTCATCCGACCCCTCCTCTGCAGGATAGGAAGATGGTTGTGTCTCTCGTGGTCTCATTGACTTAGGGCGCCCTCTACCGCGTGTGGCAGGTTGTCGCCCTCGTGCAGAAGGTGGGCGACCTCTGCCATGCCTGCCTTGTCCACCTTGTCCACCTTGAAACGCAAGAGGATCCCATACAGTCCCGGGATGTGATCCATGGCGGCCGAGCAGCTGTGAAGGTCGTCGAAGGCCACAGAATGCATCCACCTGTTGTCGCCGCTGCTCACCCTCGGGCTCTGGCTGCTGGTGCTCATCCTCTGCCTCGCCCTCTGGCTGTTCGTTCTCCTCTCCTTCCTGCTGCTTGTGCTCCTCCTTCTGCTGCTGGTGCTCCTCCTCCTGCTGGTGGTGGTCCTCCTGCTGCTGGTGGTGGTCCTCCTGCTGCTGGTTGTGGTCCTCCTCCTGGTGCCGCTTCTCCTCCTGCAGGTGCTACTCTTGTTGCTGCTCCTGCGGCTGCTCCTCCTCCTGTCGATCCTCTTGCGGGTACTCCTTCAGCGGATGGTCCTCCACATGATGCTCTTGCTGCCCCCTCTGTGCACGTTGCTTTCTCAATCGATCACTAAAGCGTGTGCCCGACACATATGGATGAATCTTCTCCCTCTTCGTCCACGATCTGTCAGAATCCGACCTCTCGTCCACCCACTCCTCACCTGGAACGTCGTCCTCATCCTCGTCACTCTCATCCTCCTCATCTGCATCATCCTCAACCTCGTCCCCCTCTGCAACCTCCTCGACATCCCCCAACCTCTGCATATATGTCGACCTTGTAGTAGATGGAGCACGAGCAACGTTGGTGCTTCTTGCAGCAGAACCTGCGGCCGTTGCACCGACCTCACCGTCATCAATGGCGTATGTGACATTCGCCATGTCACCCTCCAAGTCCTCGTCCACCCAATCCTTCTCCAACCCCAACCACCCTCCTGCAATGGTGGGCCCATCCTCCCCTCTGCTCTTAAGCCTCAGACTCCAGTGTGAATAGACCAGCTTCTCAGTGCGCTCGTGGTGCAACTTGTTCCTCGACTTCGTCTGCAGGAGTGCCCAGGTGTTCCAATTCCTCTCAGTCGCAGAGGATGTTGTCCATATGGAAAGGACCTTGACTGCCAACTCCCTGATCTCTGGAGGACCAAGACCGTGCGTCTCCCACCACAACACAGGATTGTCCTTTGCTGCCCTCCCCAACACCGCCGAGTCGCCAAAGAGTCCTTTCCCAAACTGGAAGTCATACAACTGGTCCTTGCAGTCATCGAACCTCTTCGAACTGTGCCATGACCTCAACGCTGCTGAAAACTGCAATGTCTCTCAACTGAGGATCCAACAGTCATGCCACAACGTGTATGGGGCTGAGAAGCATGTCCGTCCTGTTGGCGACATCGTGGACGACAGCATCTCGCTCATCTGCATTAAGGTGGGCAGAGCGAGTAATGCTTTGCAACCGAGAAACCATGTGACAGTCGTAGATGCGGGACAAGCAGTGGAAATCCTTATCCACCTCTCTCAACACATCGTACGGGCCCTTCATCAGGGCGGTCAACTTCTTGACATCAGCCCAAAAGGCTTTGTCAAGAATGAACTCCCCGACTGTGTACGTTTTTGCTCTGATTTCCCCTCGCCACGCCATGTTCTCCCATGGGCGCCCAGTCACGATACGCACCAGCACCTTCTCGCACACCTGAAGTCTGTGCAACATCACGTAATGGGTCCCGAACCTCGTCGATGCTGGTCGAAAGAGACAAGTGGCCTTCAACTCCGGGTACTTAATCAACTGTGTCCTCAGGTGTGAACGTGGCCACCTGTGAACCCTGAAGAAGTTGACGACCTTGTTCGCCCTGTCGATGACTTCGGCCGCCCATGTCTTGCTGCAAATGTCGTGCAGGAGCAAGTCCATGCAGTGCGTTGTGCGAGGGATCCAGTAAAACTGATTGAACTCTGGATCCTCCCGCAACATCCTAGCTGCACTCCTGTTCCCCGCGAACGAGTCTGTACAGATCGTTGTGATCTTATCCACCCCAAACTCCCTGAAGAACCACTTCCACCCCGCAACAACAGCAACTGCATCCTTGTCCCCCATGCTCACATCCTCGCACTTCACAAAAACTGGCTTCGAACGTCCTGCGAGGATGTAGTTCATCAATGATCGCCCACAAATGTCGGTGGCGCCATCGGTGATGAACGTGCACCCTATCACCTCCCAGTCATCCCGGATCGCCCGCTCCTCCTTCTCCAACTTGCTGCGCAACCGATCGAGCAGCCGGCATCTCAATGGATTGTACCCAGTGGGCACAAGCGGTTTGCTCGCTGCAGGCTGTGGACCGTAACATGTCAACTGGAACTTCTTAAAACTCCTGCTCTTCGCAACGTTCAACGAGATGGCATTCTCGACGAAGAACTCGCAGGCTGAGTCATCGATCTCCTCCTGTCGTGGGTTCTTCGTGTACCTCGTGATTGACGTCTGTTTCACCGGTCCCGGCGGTCCACGAACTCGGGCCTTATGCTGCGATGGACTCGATCCGCCTGCTCCCGTGGCCTGCTACATCGCAGGCTGCGACCCGCCTGATCCTCCAATGGCCACCGCCCCGGGTCCACTGCCGGGCTGTCCACAAACTCCCTCGTCGGAGTCTCCTCCAATCCTGGCATCTCCTCCACCAACCCTGCAATATCCTGCATGTCCACATCATGATCAGATTCACTGTTCTCCTCCTCTATTGCACGCTGCACCCTCTCCAGCAGGTCGGCAGGCAACCCCCAACCAGCTTTGTGCAATCTCCTCCAAATGGCCATCGTGCCATGAGGACACCTGGAGGATGCCCTCTTGAAAGTGAAGTGCTCACACGCCCGTTTCCGCGTGCTGCTCCACTCGTGTTGGCACAACCTGCATCGCAGCCTTCTTTGTCCCTTGGAATTCCCATCCAACACCTGACCAACCTCCACCCATGTCCACACACAGTGGTCACCCCTCAACTTCGGATCTTCCATGAATGGCTCCCGTCAGTGCCATACCCCCGTTCACCGTTCACGGGGTCTGTGGACGGAGATCGGTAATGGAGTTCACGGAGTTCACGATACGGGAGTTCATGGAGTTCACGGAGAGCGGTGTTTTTTTTTTTGTTTTGGCTAGGGGGGTATGTTTTTTTTTTATAGGAGGGTGGGGGACATCGAACGGTAACTCCCTACTAGCTAAGCGCCCGCGGGGCGCGGTGCGGGCAATGCCCGCAAAAAAAAAAAAAAAAAAAAAAAAAAAAAAAAAAAAAAAAAAATCACGCCCAAACCAAGTGCTAAATTTCAGCATTGTTAACAAATTCAACAAACGGAACACATACAAATCGACACAAAAAAGGAGAAAGAAAGAGAGAGAGAGAGAGAGAGAGAGAGAGAGAGAGAGAGACACAGATAGACAGAGACAGTGGAGAAAGAAAAGAAGAATGCAAAGAAGAAAGAAAGAAAAACATCATTCAAGTCAAGACGATCGTGCAAAATGATGAAAGCACAATAAGCACCGCATGCGCTCCATCTTCATTTTATTAAGAGAAAATAACATAATATTTCTCTCTCTCTCTCTCTCTCTCTCTCTCTCTCTCTTTCGTTCTCTCTCTCTCTCTCTCTCTATCTATGTATCTATCTATCTATCTATCTATCTATTATTATTTGTTCTCTCTCTCTCTCTCTCTCCATCTTATGTAAGAGCAATAAACTCCCATCAGTGGAACGGAACTCTCGCAAGATATCACGAACAGAACTCTGTTGCAGCACTTTCCGGCGATAATCCTCAAAAGTTTGAAATCGACTTTGTCGCTGCCGATGGTAGTCAAGATGGATGGCAGCATCAACAGACCTCCACATGTTCATATCCGTATGCAACTCCTCAGCCGCTTGCGCGATATCTTGCAATCTGTGAGAGCTATCTAGATAGGAGAGATGCGCATGCACTTTTTTGGGACCAACGGATGCAAGAGACTCATAGACGGCAATATCAAAAGTAGAAGCAGTGACTTCTGGCAAACCTCTTGTACGGACATTCAGTTATGCAGCTGGCGAGAGAGGAGCAGGGACAACGCAAGGAGCAGGAGATGGAGTAAACATAGCGGCAGGCGAAGCAGAAACAACTGTAGAAGCAGTGACGATGGACATTCCCACATTGGACGACGAAGCATAATCTGCAAGATGTTGACAATTGGCGGGAGACGGTGCCAGTAATGACAGTGGCGGACAGTGGCCGAAGGAAGAGTGGAAGAAGAACCACCGACAAGAATTCTTTTGATGAGACTTTGTATGCGAGCATATCTGAAGAAGGGCTCCGGAATAGTCCCATCCGTCGGACAATAGGGCAAATCAAATGTCATTCTTACAATCTCTTCATTGGAGAGTGCAATGTACTCATCGTGCAAAACGGATTGTACCATCTAGCTGGACTCCACATCTGAAATATTCAACGGATTGGAGGGCAGAGAGGATCCTCGTTCCGATCGCATATTAGTGATTTTGGTTCTTTGTCAATCAAGAATTTTTTTCCATATCCGTTCATCCTTCACGACCGTCGCAGTCTTCACAAACATTTCGAAAAAAATCTCATTCAAGACCTTTCGCAAACCAACCTTCTTTGCATCATCAAACAAGTGAGAGAGGTAATCGCGAGGATGAGGAACACGTGCAACTGGCGGTGGGGGATTGCTATCATCGGGCACGTCAACAACTGTCGCACAATTTCGTGTTTGGGACGGGGTACGAGCAATTCCTTCACCTTCACCACGTTGGGACTTCAAACACGGATCACGATCATCGCCGAAAAGCACATCCATAGGGATCGTGCAAAGTGCTTTAAGAACTTGAGTCGCAGTTTCAGGATTAACAACTTTGTTAGTCACCCGATGATCACGAAGGGTGGGCTCAAGGCCGTCGGGCAAACCCAAAATATTTTTTTTCACACGTCGACTCGTCCTTCTTTTGAATATAGATTCAACACAGTCACCAGAACCATCAGCGGAGGTCTCTTCTTTATCATCACTTAATACACATTTATCAGCGTCACCTGACCGATCCCCCTGACAACTATCCCCTTTCGCACGAGAGTCATGAGGCCCTTCTTCCACAAACATATTTTCAGCATCCTCGAGCGTGTTCCTTTTAAGAGACACATACTCATCTTCAGGTCCAGGATCAGCACCCTCGACACGTGGTCCAGTTTGAAGGTTGGCAGACATTTCATCGTTTCGGCTTATTTTCGATGGTTCCGAACACTGCACCCGACTATTCGATGTAACATTGCCATTAGCATCAGTAGCAGTGCTGACGCCTGTCACTTTCAACTTTTTGCTATTATCACGAGTGTCATACTTGTGGCGGAATTGAAAACCGCCTGCAAAAAAAAAAAAAAAAAAAAAAGGAAAAAAGTATTCGGAGCGATTAGAATCGATGGTCGAAAAGATACAGACGACAAAAAAAAAAACCTTATTCCAAAAGTTCGTGATAAACAATATTCTTTGTGATGAAATTCTTGTCAGGCAACGCAACACGAATGTTGTTGGGATGACCAACGCGCGACAAAGCAACATACAACTGGCCATGCGCAAAAACAGGTCTGCGCAACCTAACCCTGACACGAGAGACAATTTGTCCTTGCAACTTGTTTATGGTCGCAGCGACGCAAGACGGATCAGAAATTGTCTCTTATTCTATTTAAACCCCGTGGTTTCACCATTACTTGTCAATCGATTTTGGGGATCAGTGTCGTTGTACCGGTGCGCATTATAGTCACCTCCAACGAATCATCATCAACAATCTTTTTAAGAATCAACCTTGTGTCATTACAAAGTCCTTGTTTGGGCGATAAATTGCGCAACAACGTCACAGGCGCACCAATTTTCAAGCGCAGTTTGTGAGGCGGAAGACCAGACTTATCGAGAAAATTAAAGAACTCGCGCTCGATGCCAAGTCCGTGATCATCAGAACCAGGGTAATCAACACTATAACTTTCACGCACCTCGCCTTGGAAATCGTTGAGAACCATGTCATTAACACACCTCGCATCGTCATTAGTAGCGCAGAGAATCAATCGAGCGTAAAAATTGTCAGCATCCCCAACGTGTTCACAAACATCCTCAAACGTTCAGAAAATCAAATCACGAATAGGTTTATCAGTGCAAATCTCATGCCGCAGTTTGACCGTGGCAGGTTCGTTAGGAACAAAACGAATATGATCATCATTTTCAATACACATCAAAAATACGCCACACATTCGCGCCATTGCATCATCCCCTAAGCTTAAGATCCGCATATTCTCAGTCAGGCAATGGACCTCAAAAAGTTTCCACAAAGGAGACATTTTGATAGAGGCTTCAATTTGTTGTGCTCGAGACCCATGTTTCACAACCGGCAAAACCTGTCCAAAGTCCCCGGAAAGAACCAAAACCTTTCCTCCAAAAGGGAGGTTACTGTTACAGACATCTCGAAACGTAATGTCAAGAGTTTTCAAGTGGAACTTGTTGCTCATTGGAGCTTCATCCCAAACGATCAGCAAGTTCACTTTGTTTTAGAATATTGAAGGAACGCGTGTTATCAAGTTTCAAGGGTGCTCGAAATCGCGAGTGAAATGTTCGACCACCGGTCAAAAGAGTCGCTGCTATCCCACTGGACGCCACAACGAGTCCAATACCATTACGCGACCTGATCCCCGTCAAAATTGTTTTTGTGCAAAAAGTCTTTCCTGTTCCCGCTGGCGCATCTACATAAGCATAAAGCGGTTGTTTCTCTTCCACGACCCGAACAACTCTTTGCACCAGCGCTTGTTGGAGCGGCCGAAGACGTCGAAAATTATACTCAAATTTAGTTCGCATTTCAATCAGATCATACGACAATTCGTCATTTATAATCGAGGACACAGTCTTGTTCTCATAATGCCTGTTTATGTTATCGGCAATCGTTTCTCCATTAGGGGTCGGATAATAAAGACCGAACAAGCGGATGTTTTTGCCAGACTCATGCAAGATATGGTCAAGATCAAAGAGAACTAAACATTGCAAAACGATCGGAGGGAAAATCTGAGAGTCCGCACGATACTGAAAATCATCACACATTTTTTTTCAATGTCGTTGAAAGAATTGAACAGGATCGTTGACCGGCCTAAACAGCAGAAGCATAGTGAATACTTTACGAACCTCTGCAGGCATATAATGGAGTGCGGCCGTATCTATACATTGATTATATGCATCATCGGTTTGCAAAAGTCCTAATCGAAGACACACCGATCGGAACGAATCGTATTCAACTCCATCGACGGTACGAATTTTCGCAAAAGAGTGTGCTCCACGAGAGTGTTCATGGTTTCGCAACACACGGAGATAGAAGCGTTCGCCTTCCGTGACCCTGGCATGATGCAATCGAGATAATTTTTTGAAAGGAGCACCATGAAGAGCATGCTTTCTTTTGTTTCACACCTTATACTGATTATCCCACACATGAGTCTTGATAATTTCATAATACAAAGGAAGCTCGTGTTTAGGAACACGTTCATTCAAAGAGTTGTGATCCATCCATGCCGTCAATTTTGTGCTCGGCAGCCCGCGGGAAACAACATGATTTTCTGTGCCTGGTTCGAAGACCACTTTTTGCATGTTTTTTTTTATATGAACGGGCAATCTTTTGACTGCGGGCCATTGTTCCACAAGGTCAAACTCAAACAGACGCCAGCATGCCTCGCATGCACCAACAACACGTATATCTTGATAGGATTTGACTTCATCGACAGGTGCATTATTATCTTGTTCGCAAACCATGACACGATCACCCCCTTTATACACATACTTATACACATACTTGCACGCCTTGATGTTAGCACAACATTCGACATTGATGTTGCAATTAAACCTTATCATCAAGTACGGGTTATACAAGACCACTCGACAATTATCATAAACAGCGCAATTTTGAACGACCGTAAAGCCACCGTCACTTGGTTTTCTTCTCCTATACGAAGGGTAAGTTTATTCATCTTTAAAGGTTGTCGTGGAAATAATTTTTTTCGGAAACCCTTTCGTGCACTTTCCATTCTCGGTACACAAAGCATCGCTTTTCTCCTCACCGCAAATGCCGTGCAACATGAATTTGACAACCCTTTCTCTAAATTCCCCTTCAGGCGGAATTTCCGCACACACCACGTTGTCAACAGCATTTGCATCGCGGATTTTATCATCCGGATGCAAGATAATCAATATGTGTTCATGCGGCAGACCCCTTTTTTGGAACTCAAGTACATACAACATTCCATCGACTCTCTCAAAGATCCATTTTTTCTTAATCTCGTGAATGAGTTGAGTGAGATAACCTTTGAACACTCAGGCGAGTAGATCCAGCCTGTCGCTTGCGCATTGACCCGGCAACAACGCTTGTTGGATCTCTGGCCAGTTTATGTTACACGTCATAGTGATAAAAGGATCGGGTTTTCCAAACCGCCTCACGATTGTCATGCTGTCATGATATCTTTCGGTCATATACCACGGTCCCCCAGTGAAGGTGGAGGGCAGAAGTATTTTTGTCCCAACACCATCACTGTGCTGATTTTGACGTACAACCTCTCGCAGGTCCTGATAATATTCTGACCGCAAGTCTTTCTGATGGAATCTCACCCAATTTAAGCGAAGGGATTCAACCTTAGCGTAAGCCATGCAACAAAACTCGTGGAAAAGACGCACCGCATAAAGGAGGCAATGTCTTTCACCATCGCGTTCGTGTAGGTGAAACGCATAGTACTCCTTCGCACTGGCTTCCAACGCACGTTAGACAGACCAACTATCAATCCCTTCCGGAAATAGTAAAACAAACCTCAAACAGTCGTGCGTTCGGGAACACTCCGGAATGACAATTGTTGGCCGCTCACCTGGAAGAGGGGCACATAAACGAATCTCGAGCTCACGAGGAAGAAGGTCATCCGCCATGAGAACGCAGACCTCCTGTAGCCCCGACGGACGGTTATAACGCCTTGCATGTTCCTCCGCGAGCATGGCATCGGGATTTATGACCAACTTCCTTCCATTCAACGCTCCTGGCGGAGGGTCGGCAATGGTCATGAAGTCCCTCACGTAGTTGTTACACTGTTGTAGCAATTCGTGAAACCTTCTTAATAGTCGTCTCATTTGCGGAAGTTCGGCATTAGACGTGTGTGCAGATAAATTAAGGAAATTCATTCTTTCATCAATCGCATTATCCAAATGTTGAGGATCGTGCAAGTAAAGTTGTGCAAACCGAGGACGCTCTCCTTCCCCCACAGCGAATGCACCGACACGATGATAGATCGGACCCTGAGCCCGAAGTTGGCCCTAGAATCCTTGAACGCCATCGCTCGGTTGTCTTAAACGCGAGGATGCGAGAGATAAACTACTATTGATTATCCTCGCATTCTTTCGAACAAATTGCCCGTCGGGAGTCTGAGACGTCCAAATAGAACGAATCTCACGCTCCCGCGACCCTTCTCGAGGCCATTCCCACAGAGGACAACGTCTCGTACCTTTTTTGCAACATATTTTTGTCTATTTTTTTTCATGATTCCACAACTTAGCACCACAATACTTGCACGGATCTCTATCACCAATGCCGAATGCCTCAACCGTGCTAGCACCCGCGACAATAGTCACGGTGTTCTCAACCGCTGCATACGGTGTTGCCACGGGTACAGACAGGAGTGCATTCATATCATCAGGTGAATCATCATCCAAATCATTCATTTGCTCATTCTGATTATCCGACTCACTATGTTCCCGATTGTTCATTGAATTTTGAACTTTAACGGACGGATTGTGCGACTGCTCTGCTCTCCCGGACATACTTTGCAATTGCCTCGGTCGAGAACAATGAAGACGCGTTTCCTTCGAAGAAGAAGATGCATCCCTCGACTGGCCAGAGGTGGTTGCTCGAATTTCTCGAAGAATATTTACATGGACCAAACTTCGCCTCACACCCCGCAAAAAACATTTGTGAGCATCCATATCTTCTTTGCTACTGCGATTCTTAATCGCAGCTCTCAATGCAACCATACGTTTAATATGACAGTTTGACCGTTTTTCCAGCCTTTTCTTTCGAGTGAAAATTCGATACAATGTAAACCCCGGTTTATCGCTATTCATCCTATGGACTTGTTCTGTTGCACCGCCACCGCCCATTGTACTTTCAACAACTACCGCATATGCATCAAAGTCGGGGAACACAGCCTGACGTACGGACGACAACGATCCAAGGTCCAAACGACACGCGACTTTAGTGGCGTGCAGTGCCCGAAGCCGCAATATACGATATCGTCTATTGCGCCTCGAACGAATCGGTTTCAATATTACCGATCTCCTTCGACGATTATGAAATGTAACAAACTTCCTAACCATTGCGTTCGGGAAATTTGACAAGGTTCCAAGAGAAGAGCATGCCTGTGCATGAACAGTTGGGATGAAAGCATGAAGGTTAGGCTGCATGCATCTTCATCCCACATCTTCTGTGAATGAGGACGACGGTCCGTTCTCTACACGTGGCAAATGAAAGGAAGAATCATCAACTGGAAAGGTTGTTTCGATCCTAGGAACAAAATTTGTACAGACTGCATCATTCGTACAATTTTCATCAGGTCGTCCACTTTGCAAGGTGCTAGGCAGGTTTCGTTCGCAACGAATCTGACTCGTATGAACATCAACATTTCCTTGACTCCTACGGAAAAAAAACTGAGGACTTGCAATGGAGTCGCTTGTTGGAAAGATAAAGATCTATCACTACACTGTTCTTCCACAGAACAATCAAGGCCGCGATCAGGAGTTGTCATCGGTTGTTTGTCAGTTCTATGAGCAGTCACATCACCCATAGCACCTACCGGTTGTACTAAAGACCCTCGAGTCCGATGACTCTCGGAATGCGGTCACCACGTTTGCGGTGTTAATATTTTGATGACACCCGTGTTTCAGTCGTAAAGGAACAGCGAGTAATATCCGAACGTGCACGCAATCCTAATCCATCATTTGACGAAAAAAAAACATTCTGTAACGAAGAAAAATGAACTTGAGCAGAATTAATGGCAGAAAAGTTATCACAGTTCGGTATTGTTGAAGAAGAGAACAAAGGAGCGGTAACAGGTGTTTCACAACGGCGAAGACGTCTTCGACGCTTCCACGGAACGTGCAAGGACCTGTCGATAGAGGAAGAACGGTTTGGAGCGGCGGATAAATGAATGTGGCTTGAATCCATATCTATGTTTTCATCCCCCGCCATTTAAACGGGCGTATATGCCTGTCTTTTAAGACGGCTGTAACGTAAAAATTAAAGGATATGAGGAATATAAAAGATATAAAAATCAGTAGGATAAAATATATCCCAGAATGTTTGTATACAGATGTAATTATGGTATTATGGTGGTAAGAAAAAAGATATAGTGTAAAGCATTTAAAAAAAGATAAAAATATAGTCAAAAAATAAACGAAGGTGACAAAACACAAAATGAAAAACGAACAGAAGAAAACGTTGAGTTCACGTTCTTTATTTTATTTTTATTTTTTTTAATGTTTATGTGGAGGAAAATGAAAGTTCATTAACTGATGACAAATCCTATTTTTTCTCTTTTATCCGTGCATTGTTTTTTACGTGTTCGTAAAAAAAACGATAAGTTCTTTTTCACATGTTTTTTTTTTTCCAAGACACCCCTTAGTCTTTTTAGGGCCCCATGGGATCGAGTCATACGTACCTCATTTATCCACGTTTACCCTTTGTCATTCCTCGACAGGGCTCACTGTCCTGTTCGTAAGAGTTTGTGATTGGGAATGAAGTTTCTTTTGACTCCAATCGCATTCGATAGAGGCGGCTCCTACTTGCGGCTAGCCTTGGGTATTCTAAGTCAGTCACCGTTCACAAAAAAATCGAAGAACGGTAAAAATCTTCCCCAACCTGGCCGAGTCCCAACCGCTAGGATGTAGTCTGTGGCACCCGTCCTCCTCGTCCAAGCACGAAGCTTGGATCTCAGAAGTAGGCGTTGGCTCCACCGCAACAACATTGCACCACCCCCATAAATGGGTCTATGTGGCGTACCGCACCTCTCCCCAGCCGCCCTCGAAGGTCGTGGTTCCAAGGAGAGTCATTCCTAGCGATTGAGGTCGGTCAAACTGTTGATGACCTCACCATTCCTCTCCTCCCTTGTTTCGGTAACTTAGACGAAATAGGAGAAAAGGAGGTAAAAAACAGGAGTTTTAAGAACAGGCTTACGTGAGAGAAGGTCGTTCGGGATAACATGGGTGCCTTGGGAGAAAGGTTACGTTTATTGTTACTTTCATTATTTATTATCGAACGGGTTCCTTTTCCGATATTCCTTACATAACACAGTGTGACCCAACCCTCCCAATACTATTTACTTTCCTTCATGTAACCGCCATAATGTTTTCAACGTTCAATGCAACACAATTATACGTACCTTGTCTTGGAATAAGCATGCTTTGCTTTCCTTGGACAATATGTAATCGGAGACGATGAATGTGTGTTGTTGTTGGCAGGGAGGGGGTGAAAGATATTGTTTTTAAACCTGTTTTATTTGTCGCTTCTAAATTCTTAACGTATACGCACCTGTTTTTTTTTGTTTTTTTTTCAACCAATAAGTAGAAGAATATACGAGAAGATACCGAAAACCATATAACACGAAGAAACAAAATTTCAAGAAAGTTAGCAACAAAAGATCAATTTGGATTTTCTAAAAATGGCCGCATAGAATATGAAACTCCAAAGTGAAAAATGACAAATAAAACTTATGTTTTAATATACGAATAAAA